AGTGGTCAGTCAAAGGAAATAATCTTAAGTGTGATAAATGTAGATATCCACACATGGGAAAATGCATTGCCTGTCAAAAATGTGGAAGGAYAGACCATCTTACAAAAGATTGTCGAAGGAGATCGTGTTTTGAGTGTGGAAGTGTGGATCATATGCGAAATGAATGCCCAAGAAGGARGCAAAGACCGAATTTTGACCAAGCAAGACCCGCTAATCCAGGGAAACCAGGAGGTCAAGTGCGGGGACTAGCATTCGAAATTGGAGCGAAAGAGGTTAGGCATGATCCCGACGTGGTCACAGGTACGTTTTTTCTTGATTAATCATTACGCATCCGTATTATTTGATTCGGGAGAAGATAAAAGTTCTGTATCATTAGATTTTAAGCCAAAAATTAATTTAAAGTCACAAAGGTTGAAGGAAGTTCATGCAATTGAGATTGCCAACGGTCAGGAAGTTAGGGCTAGGGACGTAATTAAGGACTGCACTTTAAGCTTAGCCAAAAAGGATTTTAGTATAGACCTCATCCCAACCAAATTAGGAAGCTTTGACGTAGTTGTAGGTATGGATTGGCTATCCAAATATYGAGTTGAGATAGGTTGTTCGGAAAAGATTACCCGAATCACGCAAGATGGAGTGCGTTACTACAAGGACAGAGTTTGGGTACCAAGGAATGACAGTCTTCGGTCTACAATTATGGAGGAGGCCCATCGTTCCAAATATTTGATTCACCCAGGATCCGATAAGATGTATAAAGAGATAAGAGAATATTACTGGTGGCCAGGAATCAAAAGAGACGTTGCCATATACGTAAGTCGATGTATGACCTGTGCAAGAGTAAAAGCTGAACACCAGAAACCATCTGGTCTTCTTCAACAACTTGAGATTCCCCAATGGAAATGAGATCAGATATCAATGGATTTTGTTACAAAGTTACCAAGAACAAGGAAGGGATATGACTCAGTTTGGGTCATAGTGGATCGACTTACGAAATCCGCACACTTTCTGCCTATTCAAGAAGATTTTAGTACAGAAAGACTAGCGCAGTTGTATATCAATGAGATTGTATCGCGGCATGGAGTACCTGTTTCTATCATTTTGGATAGAGATAGCCGCTTTACTTCCAGGTTATGGCAATCGATTCAAAGGGCATTAGGCACGAGATTGGATTTAAATACTTCTTATCATCCTCAAACTGATGGGCAAACGGAAAGGACTATTCAAACATTAGAGGATATGCTGCGTGCTTGTGTGATAGAATTTGGAGGTAGCTGGGATGATCACTTACCGTTGGTTGAATTTTCCTACAACAACAGCTATCATACGAGTATACAGTGCACGTCGTACGAAGCCCTTTATGGACGTAAGTGTAGATCACCACTCAATTGGTTGGAAGTTGGTGATAGTCAATTAATTAGACCAGACACTGTTCAGGAGACAACAGATAAGATCAAGATGATCCAAGAAAGGTTAAAAGCGGCCAGAGATCGTCAGAAAAGCTATGCGGATAACCGTAGGAAGCCACTGGAATTCCAAGTTGGAGATCAGGTGTTATTAAAGGTATCACCATGGAAAGGACTCTTACGTTTTGGAAAGAAAGGGAAATTAAGTCCAAGGTATATTGGTCCGTTCAAGATACTGGAAAGGGTGGGACCAGTCGCTTACAAACTTGATCTACCGCAAGAGCTCAATGCCATTCATGACACCTTCCATGTTTCAAATCTCAATAAATGTATGTCAGATGAATCGTTAGTCCTACCTTTGGAAGAGATCCAAGTCAACGAACAATTATGCCTTATAGAAGAACCAATTGAAATTCTTGACCATGAGATCAAGCGTTTGAGGCCTAGCAAGATTCCAATTATAAAAGTTCGTTGGAATTCAAGGCATGGGCCGGAGTATACTTGGGAGCAAGAAGATTTTATGAAAAACAAATATCCCCAACTATTCACGACTGAACTGTCTGGAAGTTGCCATCATTAAATTTCGGGACGAAATTTCTCTAACCAGGGGAGACTGTGACAGCAGCCAAATTCGAAATCCTAGGTTAGCTTTTATTAAGATTATATTAGTGTTATTGAAGTTAATTTATAGATTAGGAATTAGTTAGGTTAGTTTAGTAAAAAAA